AAACCAAAAAAAAAACCCCCCCCCCCCCCCCCCCGGCCCAAAAAAAAAAAAAACAACCAGTATTTTACCCAGGCGCTTCCATGAGTGTTCTGGCCATTTGGATCTCAATATGGTGTCCTTCTAGTAGAACACTTTCTACGTAGCTTTTCAACTTCTCAAATGTTTGCTCTGCAAGCAACTTTTTGAGAGACCAAATCTGCCACAGACCATCTGTGCTCTTCCAGCAAGGGATTTTGGCTGCTTGAAAGCAGATGGGAAAAGAGAATCTCACTCACATCCTCCCCCAGCCCCTTCCTTTAGGTTGCTGGGTACAGATAGATTTTGCTGCATGGGTGGTGAGAGAGGACATGACAGTAAGGAAGTTGAATATTCTGGCTGGATGAGGGAGTCACCCTATGTTGTAAAAATGAATAAGTCAAGACATTGTATTGCTTTCAAATCATGTAGAGGAACATGAAAGCTGTAAGGCTCTAGATTTTTTTTTCTTATTTTATGTCTGAAGTGTGTTTTGGAGCTGATTATGTGGAATATTTGTGGATTTATATGATAGACATTCTAAAAAGCTCTGCTTTTTTTATTGTCTTGGCATTTGTTATCCCACTACTTCCTGTTTGCTATCCCTGATTTTTCACCTTCTTTTAGAAAAACATACATTGGAGCATTTACTTAAAACGGAGGCTGGAAGATCAACAAACCCTGCATGTGTAAATATTTTTACCCTTTGAGTTTTACTTTCTAGTAGCCTTTATTACCCCTCTCTCAATCTCTTTTCATTTTGATTTTGAATGTACTATGTTGTGTAATTTGAATTCTGCTTCTAGATTTCCAAAGGAAAATGATGGAGGGATATTTACCAGAAATGCAAAGCACGCTGGAGCCAGTCAATCTGTCAGACGATGCCTCTTCCAAGTCCCTGGGTAATGAGAAGTCTGATAAAACTTCTGGAATGAAGGACTGCTCAAGCATCAGTTGTACTGGAGATGATGCTGGTGTCTTGGAAAGGGAATCGAGGTTGTTGCCCTCGGACCAGGATTCGACAACTATTGGCATAGGCAGCAATGGGGCCCTGGCAGAAGGGCAGGAGCAGCAGTGCAAAGGGGCAGACTTCTGTGCCAATAACTGCTCTGAAAGAAAGGTGGAAGGCTCCACAAAACCAGAACATTTATCTAGTGAAGAATTTGAACGGCAAGATCCAAAATCTGATCAGACAGAACAATCATTAATGGAAATATTACAGGAGCTAAGGGAGGAGTCTGACTTTGTGAAAAAATCGAGTGATAAAATCTATTCAGAAAGCCCGTATGACACTGACTGCACAAAGAAGCTTATTTCCACAATACATCAGACTTCATCACAGGAGGATTTACTAAAGGAAATAGAGTCTGAACTCTTATCTACGGATTTTTCAAAGGAACAAAAATTCCCAAATGGTGTGCAGAAGGGTGAACGTGCTTTGGCTGTGTTTGAAAAATGTGTGCAAGATAAATACCTGGAGCAAGAACAAACTATAAAAAAGTAAGTATTTGAGTATGCTCATCACAATTGGAGGTGTGTACTGAACAATTTTGGTTGCATGTTGTATGCAACCGTATCCAACATTTTTGGTATGAAACAGGTAGACTCTTGTGAGTTGTTATAAGGACAGTTAATGAGCTTTTTAAGTTATGTTCCTTAAGTGAGGAATTATTTTTACTTGTGGTACGTTCTTGTAAATAAAAATGTGTGGTTAAATCTCTGAATTCTTGTGGAATTTGGCAGGAACTGAATAACCAACTGTTCAGTTGAATAGCCTGCCAATGTCTAGAATTATTTAAATGCTGTGAAAGTAATGGTAATCTAAAAATAGTCCAGGATTCATTCAGTCCATTTATGTCTTTGGAGAAATGAATCTTTGTAACTACTAACTCCCACAGTGTACACTTTATTTATGAGTTTGAAATTGCTTATTTCTTTTTAAAGTAGCGTTCAGTTTCCTGTCATAAGTCAGCAAGGTTGCTAATCACTTGAGAGCTATTTGGGTTAGAAATGTCATGTATAGATAAACTACTGTCTTACCACATTTTATAGGAGGCTTTTGAAATGCATGTCTTATAAACTTTGCTATAATAAACTGAGCTTAATAGTTCCACCAGGCAGTATACTACATGAAGAATATTTACATTCCTCAAAAGCCAGTTAATTGCTTGATTTCTTGATCCCCACTTGGCGTTTCATATTCCGTTACCTCTTTAGAAATGTTTTTTTTTCCTAACAAAATGTAGCCTCTAACTTCAAACTTATTCCTGCTTGCAGAACTGGAAATGAGTGTCCTACTCTTCATATAAGTCACTCCAATACCATGGTATGGAAGGACATCAAAGGGAAGGAAACCAGGCAGAGGGAGAGATGCCCAGTAGGGAAAATATTTTCTTGCAGCTCACCAGTTAACCTCTGACAGAAATCATAAATGTGAGGAAAGTCAGCTGATGACAGGAAAGCTTGGGAATGCGTAGTTAGGTATTCAGATTCCCACTCCTCCTCCACAATTACTGAAGTGGTGGGTGTGTAATTCCAGTGGTGGTGTAATTCCAGGAGATCATAAGTTAACAAGTTATTTGGGTTTTACTTGTTTACAGTAAACTCAAAGGCAGGTTAGTGTTTTCAGTCATGGACCAATTACTTTCTTAGAGATAAATGTTTGTATATATTATGTATACATACAGATTTTTTTTTTATATAAACATGTCTTTGGTCTCTTTTTTTGCCAGCTGCTATCCCAGGTGCACCTCTCTGACTCTTGGGGACTCAACTTCAAGAGTGTAAAACTGCTGTGGAACATGTTATGTTTGGTTCAAAGGGCATTCTGGGTTGGGTTGATTTTGTCCCTTAGTTTATGATCAGCAGAATTTCTTGTGACACTTCTCTAGAAATAGCCTAGTTGTCTCCTGTGATCAGATCTAAGATATATAGATGAACAGCAATTGTGTGAATTAAGAATTTGTAATCCTAGAATATTCATTAATAGATTAAAAAAACCTATCAGAAGTGCTAAGCTCTCTTTCACTGATGGTTTTGAGTTCCTTGTAATTTTGGAGACTAGTTTGTTTAGAGAATTTTATTTTTTTTTTTTTCAAAGGAGGGGAGCTAAAGATGAAAGTGCATGTCTTAAGGGATATTTAAATATCTTGTTCAGGTAAATGCATGCCTCCCACAAATTCATGCAATTAGTGGCCTAAAATATCCACTATCTAACTGTATCTTCAAACATTTAAATATGTTTGAGACTGTTTATTCAACAATTCTGACAGTGTGACTTCTGATTTTTTTTTTTATATGTAACTATCTTCTATTGCAGTGCTACAAGGTCAAACTAAATACCTGTCAGCGTCAACTCAGGCTTCAGACAACTGAGCTGCAAAGGAACAAGCTATTGCTAAAAAATTGAACTTCATAAGGACTATGAGCATGGACACTATTGTGGTTACATACCTACTTGGGACTTAAAAAATCAGGGTTCCATTTCTTACCAGGTTGTGAACTTCAGGGACTACTCTGAGCAATCCGTGAAATGAATACAGATATCTACAGTATCTTCAGAAATTAAAACAGTACTTTCTATTTTCAGACATTTGGCTGGCAGAGCTATCTGACTGGAAGTTACTGTCTTACAAGTACTGTAAAATTATTAACACTTATAGCTCTGTAGTTGCATAGAGGTACCAAATGTCTCATGTCATCATGGACCATAACAACCCCAAAATACTGGAAACAAGCAAATTCCTCACAAGGAAGATGCTGCTTGCTGGTTTGGAGTTAAGTTTCACATGCACGACACAATTCTGTTTTGTTTTTGTAAGGCTTTTGTGGATTTCATTAGTATTTCTGGCTGTAACGCCCAATAAAATTTGCAGATCAGAGAGCAAAATCCATATATCTCAAATTAAAACCAACCACCAAAACTCAGTACTGATGTACCTTGGTTTTAATGTCATTTTTTTCTTTACAGATTGATTAAAGAAAATAAAAAACATCAGGAACTGATTTTGGAAATTTGCTCAGAAAAGGACAACTTAAAAGATGAACTGAAAAAACGAACAGAAACAGAAAAGCAGCATCTCAACATTATTAAACAGGTACAGATAACAAAATAGAAGTGCTGGTTAGTATCTCGCCTGTATACAGTGTCACTATTGCCACTGTTTAACAAGACATCCTTGCTAGCCTAGAGGAGAAAGTAGGAAAGCTCATGCTTATTATCCTAAGCTTTTTAAGAGGATAAATCTGCTCTTCCATTCCAAGAAATATTCATTGGCTAAAAGCGTTTAGTGTCTTTGGATGAGCTGACTTTCTAGTCTCACATCACTTTCACATCATTCTGTATCTGGAAGTCTCTCTTCAAGTCAAGAGAGTTCCCATTTCGTGGGTTGCCCTGGTAGGTAGGTTTTGTGTACCTTGGCTTCCTGCTGGAGACAGTGTATGCTGAAAGCCTGTTTTACAAAAAATAGCACATTCAGTCTTTTATCCTGATAGGGTGACTTATTTCCTGTGCGTAGACGTAAAGGAGATCTTCTTAATTTGTCATCTTTATATTCTGTTAACTACTGCATCTGCTAATAGAAGTAGATGGGGGTGTAGTTACAGTTGTTAAACATTAACAATATGTGGAATGTGTATAAAGAGTAGAGCATATTAACTGTGATCTTGGACATTATTCTGGTATTATTGGTTACTCTATATAGGCATTTCCCCAGTGGATTGTTAGAATGGTGACAGGCCAAAGAGGAACACAGAGTGTGCATTGGTGTAGGCTGGTTTTAGTGTGGGAAGAAAAGGTTTCGCGTCAGGTGTCACTGCTTGTCTGTTACAAAGTTATCTGCTAATGTTCCTATAGTTGGTTGACCAGCTTTATAAACTGATCACAGATTACAGTTTAGAAATCTGGCAAGAGATAGCATTTAAAATACTAATTTCTGTTTGTCAAAGTACTGATGATGCTACGCTAGCTGTCAGATTTCTCTATTAATGCTGCATTGCACAGAAATCTGTTCTCAAAGCAGTGTGGTGGACTTACAGTGTTCTAGAGGAATGTATTCATCTATGTAGAAGCTTAGTCTGTCCCTGGTTAATTTCAAAGAATCTTTGAAAATCCATGATGTAGTTGGAATAGGAAAGTCTTATTTTTAAGCTATGAATTGGAATTGCATATGCCTGAATAAATCAGTATGAGCAGCTTACTCATTCTGTTTTGTCTGTATTTCCATGATAGCACTCTCTGATTTCATGAAGCTGTATCACGCAGCAATTGCTTTATCCCAGTCTGGGAAAAAAAATACATTTGTGAGGGATTTTGTTTTGCTTTCCAGTCAGATAAGTAGGATCTGTGATACTACACACTTGCAAGTGATTTCAGAAAATACTGGTTTGGAGTGTAATACTTCTATATTGTAGTTGGATAGCACCTGGAGTTGTCAGATACATTGCAGTGACACACTTGAGTTTTTTCATTTGTGATGTGTATGTTTTATTGTTACAATTTCTGAATTAGTGTTTTCTGGTAGCTTTCAAGTAAACAAAAGCTTGGCTGCACTCAGAACTGTAAGCAAACTGTACATGCATGCTTGTATGTATAAACCTTTTTTTGGTATGGGCAATGATTCATTTGCAAAGCTGAACAGAGTGTGATCAATTCATTGTGTGGTAACAGAAGCATTTTAGGTTATCCTTGCCTTTTATGTAGCAGTTTGGAATTGCACAAAAATGTAAGATACTGACCCTGAGATCTTTTTTTAATACCCCAGCCACCTGCCCAAAACCAAACCAAACTAACCTTGTTGAACCAACTTTCCCCTGGAACAAGGGGATAGTCATTCAGGCAGAATTTTAACAACCTTTGTGCAGTGTTACAGCTTAGGTAGCCACCAGTTGCTTTTGCGCTGGTGCTGCTGCTTCTCGTACTGGACTTGCATGGCTGTGCAGTGAACAGGCTCTGGGAAGCGTTCCAACTGAACACGGGTAATTATTCTTCAGCTGGATCAGGGCTCTGACTTGGTTCACTAGGCGGCTAAAAAAAGTGCCAGCACAATGACTAGGCGCCTCTTTTATTTGCTGAGTTATTTTTCAATGAATTAATTCCGCAGTTCAGTATGGATGCATGACTGCTTTGCTGGCACAGTGGAGAATATGGCACAGGGTTAGCGACAAAAGGGTGGATGGTGAAGCAACTTCAGATAGCAGCCAGCTCTGCTCTGGCATCTCAGCATTTGCTGCCAATCTAATTTTGTGTAGTAAATTACTGTGCCTCATGTTTTGCTTGATTTGATGCGTCTTCAGTCTTGCTGAAGATGAGAATTGACATCTTTCATGCTTGTACTGTAATGCAAAGCTAGATGTTGATATGGATAGTTGCAACTTGACAAGTGTAAAATACAGGTAAGTACCTGTTGAAGCATCTAATTTTGTGTGAAATGTTCCTGCCTGTACAAAACACGATCAAAGTCTTATTTTCCCTATAATTATATCATAATGTCTTTTAGCTGGAAGCAAGAATGGAAGAGCTTAATAAAGAAGTGAAAGCTAGTAAAGATAGACTTTTAAGTCAAGATGCAGCAGCCAAAAATGCTATTCAGCAGTTGCATAAAGAGATGGCCTTTCGAATGGAACAGGTAATATGGAAAACCTTTAATTATGGAACATCTTATGAACAAACTTAGTTCTTGTAGGAAAAACATAGACTCGGTTGTTAGATCACTAGGTAAGGCAAAATTTTCTGAAACTGGAACTACTAGCATTTTTCTGAGCTCCAACACGAAGATCTTACTGTCTCTTGTATTACTCAGATGATTTTTCTTTTCCTTCTTGATATCATATGCCAAGTATTTTCTCTACTGTATAAATTCTAAAGCTCAGTCTCTGATTCTTTTTTTTGTTTCCTATTTGAAACAGTGTTTGTTAGTGCTGGGGCGGGGTGAATCTGAAAAATAAACCACTGAAAATAAGCCATTTGAAAAATAAGCCACTGGGTAATGATTGTGCAGTTGGCATGTGGATGAGGGAAAACAGCAGACTGGTACTGGGTATTTGCAAAATTATTTTGTAAATAAAACTTAGCAAATACACTTCTTTCCTTCTGAAACAACAACTTATATTCTGAATTACTAATGTATTGATAACTCATTTGAGGTGTTTAGCTGTGAAGCTGCAGCTGCTTAGATACATATTTACTGTTAGAAATATGAGTAATTTCAGTACTTAAGTGGGATCTAATGTTAGTCTTTGCACAACTGGAGCTTTTGAGTCCTACTTTGTTATGCTACTATACTGCAGTACTGAAAATATCTGGTAGTCTCTTATAAAAGCTAATTGTGAAGTACAAGGTTGATTCGCTCTATTTTAATATTTTTCAAGGCAAACAAGAAATGTGAAGAAGCACGCCATGAAAAGGAAACAATGGTGATGAAATATGTCCGAGGGGAGAAGGAGTCACTTGACCTCCGAAAGGAAAAGGAGATACTTGAGAGAAGAGTGAGAGATGCAAACAAAGAAATAGAAAAGCATACTAATAAAATCAAACAACTTTCTCAGGAAAAAGGAAGGTTGCACCAGCTCTATGAAACTAAGGTACTCTAAATATTGCTGTATGACTTGAGTGAATGATTAAGAGCACCATCAGAACCACCTTATCACTTGTTTGCTGTTGTACTTGCTGAAAAAAACTATTTTCACTTGATTTTACTGTGTAGCTATGAGAACCCCTTTCCTCCAAGGGAAGGGGAAGAAGTTACTGAGTTCTCATTGTTATCTTTTTGAAGTTCCTTTTAGTATTTCCCTGAATATTAGTTTGTGAAACATTAAGGCTTTTTTTGACAAAATTGGAAAGACAGTTTGTTGCAGATGCCTGGATTTTGAAGGAATTTCTAGCTTGTTTGGATTTTTTTTTTAAAGGCTGTAATGGCATTGAGTTGTTGCAGTCATTTTTTGCTATTTTTCTGTGTTTTCACTCTGTATTTTCTCTTTTGTACTGCTAAAAATTGATGATAAAGCAATAGGATTTTTCAGGCCCAATTCCAAAAAATTTGCCATTCTTTTTTAGAAGCCTGTAAGAGATTCCCACCAGCCTCAAATTATCCAGATCTTTTTGTATTGAACTCCACAGCTGTGCTTAACAATTCTATTTCATGTGAAAGATCCAAGAATTGGTAAATTAATAGGGTTCGAACGTTGATTTGGGCCTCTTCTGTGCAATTGCACTATGCACAGAAGAATCAGAAAAATACATTTGAATAAAAGTCCTAAAAATTATGCTTCTGAAACAAAAAAAAAAATCACCTCTGTATCCTCTCTCACATGAACAAGAAGTGGGAGCATGACTTCAGGTCTCCTAAACAACATACTATCTATTTTCCTAACTCCTGAGGATCACAGTAGAGCCTTACAGGAATTGTACTGCCCTCATATGGTGCTGCTTTAAACTTTTTTGATAAGATGAGCCTATTACTTCAGGAACACAGTTTGGAAATTTGGCTTAATGCAGTGGTTTGTGGATACTGGTATAGAAGCTTACGTCAGCAGTGTGCTTCTGTTATCCTTTCTTGGCACAGGTTAGTGATTTGACTTGCATACTTCTTACTGTCAGTGCTCTCGCTAGTCTGCACCTCTATAGTTGGTAATACCATTCCCTTGGTGTCATGATTTTTTTCTGTAGCCTTATATAATATATGACCTTACCACTTTGAACCTGTGTTTCCTCGTCCTTTTGCCAAAAAAAGAACAAAAAACTGTGCTCTTACCCAGGAGATACTTATTTTAGATCAGAACTCTAGACTGTGCTTTGCCTTTTAACAGATATGTAACATTAATGTATACTAAGAGTAGTGCAGCGTTACCTTGCTATTCAAACCAGAACACTAATGTTTGCAGTTTTTTTCACTGGATTATGGGCTACAGCATTATCAAGCACTCTCAAGTATGTGTATGCTTTTGCAAAATCCAGATGTTAAGAAAAAATAAAAACTGCATTTGTGACTTGAGCCAGGAGTCTTGTAGAAGCATTGCATGATTTAAATCCATAAAATAAAATCTGTTAAATCTTCTTAGGATGGTGAAGCCACTCGACTCAACAGAGAAATAGAAAAATTGAAAGAAGAAATCAATTCTCATGTTATCAAAGTAAAATGGGCTCAGAACAAATTGAAAACAGAAATGGATTCACACAAGGTTAGTGAAGTGATACTGATACCATGACATGAAAATATAGCTGGAGGAATGTAGTTGCTGTACTGTTTACTTTTTATATAGTATTAAAATTTGTTTCTAAAGTGGTTTTTGTTTAATTTGAATACCTACAGCAGGAGTCAGAATAGTGCTCTTAAAGATATTGATACTGAAATGGAAATATTGAAAGGATATGAGGGGAGAATGTATGTGGGGATTCTGTTTAATCTGGTGATCAACTTTTAATTTGTTTTTTTTGTGTGTGAATTAACTGTCAGTTTAGTTTCCATGCGATAGAGTTAAACCTATCATCTGGAAATGCACATGATGCATAACCGGGAGATCCTTTTGTTGTGCTTTCAGTGTTGGAATGAATGAAATTGCATAAAGTAATAGCTGAATGGAAGCAAGATGAAAAATAATGCTGGACTTTTTTTTTTTTTTAATTCTTTCCAGACTGAAATAGGAAGCTTTTATTATGAGAAATGATTTTCCCAGATTAAGTTGGTTTAACCCATCATTTATTACTGTTTTTGTAGGAAACCAAAGAACGCCTCAAAGATGCAATGACAAAATTAACTGAAGCAAAAGAAGAAGCAGACCAGATAAGGAAAAACTGTCAAGAAATGATAAAATCCTATCAAGTAGGCACATTTTCTCAGGAGGTTAAATTAGCGTTTAGCATCTGAGTCTTTGTTTTCCTACCTCTCTAGCTTAAGCTGTAGCAGGGAAGAATTATCCTGTGCGAGCTACAAAGCTGAGATGACTAGTCAATGGTTTCTTTACTTGGAAAGTTGTTAAGTAAAAGGGAAAATGTTTGTCTTGATTGACTCGTAGTGTGGGGGTCTTTCTTGGCGTGTTGCGAATTATTAGATACGTACCTACAGAAAAGACTCAGTGATGTGAAAAGCTGTCTGTATGCTTATAAAACTAGAAAGGGGAACGTAAAACTCTAAAACTCTGCTTACATTCCTTCAATCCTTTTAGGAGTCAGAAGAAATTAAATCAAATGAATTGGATGCAAAACTCCGAGTAACTAAAGGAGAACTAGAGAAACAAATTCAGGAGAAGTCTGATCACCTGGAGGTAAATATGTGGTGGTTGGAGACAACACAATTGGCAACTTAGTAGTTAAGAATGCCATGAGTTTTTAATTTTGAGAATCTTATTTTAAGCTGCTTACAATTTTTGCCAAACACTTTTCTTTTTGGCCTAATGCTGTGTCCCAGGTGTCTGCCTCCAGCCCTCCTGGAGGATGTTTTCAGCTATTACCTTTGATTCAGTTTTTAAAAACAAAGTGGGGGCAAAAGTATGATATAATGAGGATGAAATAACTGCTCTTTCATTTATAAACATGAATGTTGCTGTAATTCAGGCACAAACTCAAATGATAGGCAGGTGTTTCTCTGACTAGTATTTTGCCAACCTATGTGGCAAGGAGAGGCAGGGAACAGCCTCTGTTCTTGTAGAGATTTGCTAGCCCAAAAGCTGAACTCTCTTAACGATTTAGTACCTGGTCACAGCTCATGTGCATATGCTATCTTCAGAGTTAACCAAATGTCAGTTTACCTGTAACTTTCCCCACGGGCTGTTGTGGCATAGATTAGTACACCAAAAACCAGAGTGTGTAATCTCACTTTTGTTCTCAGTTCTTCTGAGAATAAAGAAGACTTTAGGCTTTGCTTTGCTTTTTGAATCAGTAAAACAAACCCTTAGGGTTCCTGTTCTGCCTCGAACCCTCTTGGCTGTTGTGGTGGCCTGCATTGGCCTAGATTTTTTTGACATCCCAGGAGATGCCACTGTCCATTTAGATTTCTCAAGGAGCTTCTCACTCTTTAAAAAGGTGCATCATGCAAAAATAAAAGAACTAGAAGACTTGAAGAGAACGTTTAAAGAAGGCATGGATGAGCTTCGAACACTGAGAACAAAGGTAATATGTGCTGTGTTATATTGCAGTGGGGCTAAAGGCATAATGTTGGGTTTTGGAACAAGACTACATTCAATCTGCTAATTGTATTTTCACTTCTTTTGGAATAAAGAGTGTGATTAGAGACTGGCTGGCATGAGACTAGGAGAGATATGTAACTGTTGACTCTGAGTAGCCTTTCTTAGGGAGTATCAGTTGATCCATAGTATAACAATGTTTTGTTTCATGGTGTGCACCTCATTTGACTGAAAAGTTGTGAGAAACGTTTTAGTAAATATCTTGTAAATTTGGAAGATGAAAAATACTTGTGAATTTTTTCCTACCTGTGAAGCTAGTTTTATAGAGTTCGTACATGTGACCTCTGGTAAGGAGTATATGCTATCCATAACTTCTGAACGGTCTATAGATTAGCTTGCCAGTCTTTCTATCCAGAGCAGGGATTTAACTCAATAGGACCTTAGAAAAAGGGAGGAGGAGATAATAAGGGATTGGCTTGGTAACTGGGGAAAGATGCTGTCTTTGGATCTTGGTCCATTAGACTGATAAGTTTGAATCTTTGGACAAAACTAATGTTAATCACACTTGTTTAATTTGACTTTTTTGCCTTTTTTAAAAAAAAATTTTATTTTTCTGACTGTATTTGATCTGAAATACTTGGGGTATTGTTCTGAGTTACTTGGAACCACCAAAAAATAACACAGGAGCTTTGTACAACAGTCTATACATTTAATCAGAATATTTCAGCTCTGAAGTTGAGAAGAATAAATAGTTTCTGATTTCTTTTCTGTTTAGGTAAAGTGTCTAGAGGATGAGCGTTTAAGAACAGAAGATGAGTTATCCAAGTATAAAGAAATCATTAATAGACAGAAAACTGAAATTCAGAATTTGCTGGACAGAGTCAAAACTGTAGATCGTCTGCAGGACCAACATCAGAGGTACAGCTATGCACTTTGAGGAATGATTTAAAAGATTATATGGGATGTGGAAAGTTTTTCTTTATTGAAATTATTGATGCTTTAAAATGTATTGTAATTTGAAGAATCCTTGTCCTAATTTAAGTGGTTTTCCAATCTAAATTAGTATTGCTAGTACTGGAGATAACCTTGGTGGCCTCTTACAAGATGAGGGGATTGAGACTGATATATCTAATTGAACATCTTTCATTATTAGAATGAGAAGTGCTTGCTTTCCAGCATACTCTATAGGGAATTATGTCTTCTAGGTATCTGCCCAGTGCTCATTTTATAGAAAGATTGGGGAAACGCAGCTAAGCTGGAAAGATTGCTTCAAAATTGTGATGGATGAATGAAAGTATTTAACAAAGAATTTCATATAGTTGACAGATGCTGTATTCAGATAGTAGGGAGAAGTTGTATTTCTAATGGACTGGAATTCATTCTGCTCTGTCAAAATCTGCTCACTTAAGAATGTGAGGGGAATAATCTGAGAAGAGTTGGGTTTGTGGACACTTGAGGTGTGTCTGAGGATAGTCATGTTTCTGTGTGGTACATATGGACTAGAATGCACAAATGCTATCCACTTCACTGATTCTAATGGTGTTGCATAAATGGAGGTAGACAAATGTCAGGTAAGCAGAACCACCCATGTGTCCCTCCTATCCTTTTAAACAGTTCCTATTTATCATTGAAAAACATTTCAGTGATTATATGCCTTCCTTGGGGTTTAGAGAATCAAGCATTTTCATTTGCTGTGTGCTGGTCAGCTGTATTGGCACCGTGTCATCAGCCTTTCTAGGGAAACTGCAATATGTTAGAGACAACTGAGGCTTATGCTTCGATCAATAACAGTGATTTTTCACTTGGGATTTTTCTAAATGAATTAAAATGACAGGGATCACAGTGTGAAACTACAAATGTGTTTTTCCGGTTATCTTTGCCTTTCAGTAATTGAGACATGCTTAAATACCTGTCTCTTATTCCTATTCAATTTGGATAATTTTTTTAAAGTATCCTTCCTGTACAAGACTTATTATTCCTACATCAAGTTTCATATTGTCTTTTATTTCTCATTTGGAATGACTTTAACACGTTTCCGGTACTCCTTAGAATGTTTGATAAAGTTGTGGAATCTCAACCAGAGATTTAAAACTTGGACGGGTGAATTTCCATTATCATCTGTGAAAGAGAAATCCTGGAATCTTGACCTTTGTTTTTCCTGTTGTTGTTTAGAATAAACAAACTTACTGCCTTTCATTTTCTTGGAAGCAAATGGAAGGAATTTAATCTTAATTCACACACAATCTTGTCTCTTTTCTTGATGAGAAAGGAATAGAGTAGGCAGGTTTCTTTAGCCTAGGGAACAGAAGACGGAAGGGAGACGTCCTTACATGTGTAAAAGGCTCTTATAAAGGGAATGTTCAGCTATCCTTGTTCACTGGAGGAAGCATAAAAATGAAGAGTTTTGCAGGAAAGATGATTTTAGGTTGAATGCTGGGAAGAATTTTATGGCTGAGCTGGATAGTGATTACCTTCAGTGTTGCCTGATCTCTTTCATTGGAGAACTTTAAGGTTAAGCTAGAGATCTCTTTTAGGATATTCTAAACATTTCATTTTGTCTGATTCAATCCTGGCTGTTAACTAGAGATTTCTCCTGTCATAATGAAACAACATATTTGGAAATGTGAAATATAAGTATAGCCTTCTGGCATGGGTTTTTAAATGGGAGCTATAGGTGAAATGTTTTGCAGCATAAAGGCTGAAAAAAATCAATGCTGTAGTAGTTCAGTCTTAAATATTCTGAAAGGTCGAATTAACCTAAAAAAGACTGTAAAGGCAATGTGCAGTACATTTGATGTTATCATTTGGTGATGCAATGCTAGCTAACTTCTGTTGTCATTAACCACACGAACTCCTCATTTTCATAGCTGGAAGCATATAATTTATAGTAATGGAGTTCTAGTAGAATTCAGTTACTTAGTTTTGCAAAATTCATTTTTAGAATTACTAGTGACGTGGGTTGCCTGAGCCTCACCTCTTTTTGAAGAAACATGTTGGTAGGGGGTTGTTGATTTAGAGATGACTGAAGAGCTAATGAAGTATTGCAAGAGCAAATGAGAGGAGGACATTTTTAGTCTAAGTTTTTCAACAGCTATTTAATTTTGAAATTAATTTCAATCACTTTCTCTAAAATGTTGATCGTAACTGAAGATACAGGCTTTCTCACTTAAATGGAATGCAAGTGATAGATCAAAAGTCCCCTAATGGGAGTGCTTCAGTAGAAACAAGAACTTGTTTTGTAGAGGATAGGGGAAGCGATAGTGGAGTAACAGGTCCTTTGAATCGGAGCTGCACTGCTTGGATAAGGATGTTTACGAAGTCACTGTGCTGCTGTCCTGGAGAAGCTCAAATACAAAGCTAATCATTGCATGCCCTTCTGTGGGATACAGATATCTGTCACTTCAGCACTGCAACATGTCATGAAATGGAATCTGCAAACTCCCTTGGCATTTAAAACGATCCAGTGACTTAACAGATGCCTCAGGGTCCTTAATTGTGCCTCTGCCTTATTTGGTCTTGACTTGAATGCTTTTATTTCAGTAAGGTTTCGTGTCTTTAAGCTCAAGTTATCCCTAATAAGATACAATTGTTTTGACAGAGACGAACAAGAAATCAGTGCTTTAAAGGAAGAAGTAGATGGTTTCAATTCTCTGATTGCTGATCTCCAGAAGGACATTGAAGGTAGTCGGAAAAGAGAATCTGAGCTATTGATATTCACTGAAAAATTAACCAGTAAGAATGCCCAGCTTCAGTCTGAAAACAATTCCTTACAGAGCCAGTTGGATAAGCTTTCTTACAGTGAAAGAGAGCTGCAGAATCAGCTGGAATGTGTTCAACAGACTAAAGATGATCTGGTGAGTACAGTGTGCAGCTTGTTTTTTACGTTAGTAAGATGTCTGATGCTGATAAAGATGTGGCACATGAATTCCACCTTGTGTCTTTACTTACCTGACCTCAATTTCTCGTTTGCCAATTTGATAGAATAATAGCAGCAGGATATGAACACTTGTATTTCTAAGGGGAAAGAAATCCTGAGGCATACTGCACTGGAATGAGGGGGTGTTACTGTGGTGTTCTTTCTGTCTTTCTGGAAGTACAGAGTTGTTCTCTGTGCAACTGTCATTGAAACAATCAAAAGGTTGTAATTTGTCCATGAATTTTATTACTGTAAACTATTTCTTAGGTCCTGTTTGTACTAGAAGATAAATGTAATTTTTAATAAACTTAGTGTGTCATGGAAGGTAATGTGACTGCACTGTACAGCTCTGCATGGCTTTGTACTGTGTCATGTAGATGTTTTGGAGATTGTTCAGGGGTCTTACTGCAGCTTTGCACTGTGCTGCATATTCATTTGCAGTGCTAGTGATTAGCCTAAATAATAATATAAAATGTGAATGATTCTCAGGTGGAAAGTGCAGAGTTAGGGCTGTTGAGCCTGCAGTATTGTTAGGCTGGAATATTTTTGTACGTGACTGAAATGAAAACTACAATTTCAGGCCACCAAGTTACAGAAAGAGGAGGATCAGCGGAAGCTAGAGGTTGAGACACTACAAGCTCAGCTAGCTTCAGAGCAGAAAGAACTAACAGCGCTGAAGACCCACGTAGATGAACTGAAAGATGAACTGGCTACCCAGAAGCGCAAGCATGCAGCAAACCTGAAAGATCTCACAAAACAACTTCAGCTAGGTTGAAATTATTTTCAGATATAATGAGTCAGCCCCATCTGTAAACCCCTTCACAGTGTCTGGTAGAGACTAGGCTCCTGTCTGCCTCTGTGCACTGAGTGTAGCCCTCCAAGCTCTCCCTATTCCTGAAGACAATGAGAGTGAGTGAGCAAGTTAGATCTTGTGGAAAATGCAGTGACAGGAAATGGACCTTAGTGTCAATTTTCGGTCTTTAAATACAACTTTTGAAATGGGTTTAGACATAAAATGAAATATTTTTTCAAAAGAGCCTGGTCTTTGTTACCATGTATGTGACTACTGAAATATCACTGTGGGTATATGGATCCTGGTCTGTGTAGGAGTATATTTAAAAGTTGCTAGAATTTTCCTAGTTGTTGACTGTATCAGGAATTGCTGGTGACAGTTATTTTTAGTATATTAAACAGAGCACTTCAGTTTTTAAAGATGAACATGGAGAGACTGATGACTAATTTTGTCAACAAATAGAAATAATTAAATAGCCATTAATGCATATGCTCTGAATGCAAATAGATTTTAATATAATCAAATCAGTTTGAAATGTATTTGAAAGAAGAGATCCTGTTGGCGTTGTGCAAGACAAGTTCTGTGTCTCTCTTTGTACATATGTAAACAGCTGTGCACTTTCCCCCTTGATCTCTACTGAATGAGAATGGTCCTTCTGGCACAAGTACACTCACCTCCCAGTAGTGATACAGTTATGAGATCCTGGTCTGTCATTCAGTAGTTAATTACATGGCAGTCCTAATCAAAAGTAAAATCAAATTTAAGTCTTATTGTTCCCAGTTAATCCTACGTATGACCTTACCTGCTGCAGCTGGCAGCTGCTGCAGGGTGTAGGGATCATGGTGGATGTTGCATCCAGGTGCTTCATGGTTGGGGGCGGGGAGAGGAGTGGGGCTGTTTGGTTTGGGGGTTTTTGCAGTTGCTACCATTATCTTTCAGTTGTCAAGCCATGTTAAATTAGTGCAGATCAGAAAGGATTAGAGTTTTTGTATGTTGTGTAATACTATAATATTTGGTTTTTAATCTGCTGTTGGTAAGCATTATTTTGTTATACTTTTAGCACGGAGGAAATTGGATCAGATGGAAAATAGTAATTATGATAAAGAAGTCAGCAGCATGGGGAGTCGTTCCAGTTCGTCAGGTAATATAGCACATAGCAGGGCTGGCAAAATAATCCTTCGATCTTAATAAGGTTGCCATGGTGTGCTGCTGTGAGCCTTGTTCTTTGTGGTTTGTTCATATGCAGTGTGTGGGCAGCCTCCCATTACAGCTGAAAAATAGCCTTTAAGCATCAAAATGGACTTGGCTGAATGCAGTTGTAGGTGCTTATTTTTATTATGAGATTAAAGTTTAATGTTTATAATGTTTATATATTTTGGTTCTTTTTAAATGCCTACCTTTTTATTTTGTTGCTTTTATGTTTGGAGGAAGCTCAGAGGACTCCAGTTTATAGAGGAGCCTCTTAAATGCTGCCAGAGGCAAAACAAAAATGAGCTGTGGCTTCCAACATTGTTTAATTGCACCATTGACAGTTGCAACTGTGTAAATGATAAATCAGTTAGCATGTTTAGAGGCATCAGTGTATTTGTGTAAAATTCATTACTTTCTGTCTGGTTAGAAGTAAAGCAGTTCTCTTTAGCACTGGAAACAACATCGGTTTTCTTCCCCAGTATCTTTGGGTTTTAAGTTGGGTTAGTTCTGTCAAAGTGTCCTGTAATATCACTGTATGAGAGACACAAATACTTAGAAGAACAGAAAGAAAAGAAAATACTTCAAGCTCTAAGCAGTCAGTGCTGCAGAGTGTTTATACATAGGGCTTTTGTCAGACTGTACGGTTTTCATAGTGTTGTAATTTTAGTGGACTCTAAACCAGGTACGTTTAAAATCAGCTCAATCTTGTACAAAGTAATGTTAATGAACATGAAGGTACTTATGCAGGAATAAGCATTACTGAAGCAGGCACACTTAATGCTAAAGGAACTATGCCCATGTTAGGGGACTACACTGCTGTTTCAGCATGTATCCTTTAAATGATAAAAGGATTGTTTTGTATAAAACCCCACTAACATAAGAGAAACTGACATTCTGAAGAAAATATCCGAAACCACTGAAACATAATGAATGCATGCACTGCACTAGTGGATACATTTTACCTAGTATAAAAGCAAAAAGAGCTTTTACAAATGTGGATGTATTGGCAGGGTCCCTTAACGCGCGCAGCAGCAATGAGGACCGATCACCAGAGAATACTGGATCTTCAGTAGCTGTGGATAGCTTCCCGGAGGTGGACAAGTCTGTCTTGGTTGAAAGAATACTAAGGCTACAGAAGGCACATGCTCGAAAAAATGAAAAGATGGAGTTCATGGAGGATCACATTAAACAACTGGTGGAGGAAATCAGGAAAAAAACAAAGTATGTTCTGAGTTCTGTTCATACAGTTTTCCCAGTGCTGAGCTGGTACACTCGACAAGTATTCTGGATTTTATGTAAGACAAGTAATTGTCTAAGTGAAAATATTTAAAACAATAAAAATACTGTAGTGACAGTAGATCTCAAAGGTAGGATTATTGTTGGATTTTGGTTTTCCCTTATCTTTCCCCAGCAGTTACAGTAATTGCTGAGTTGTTTATTACTAAATTTTTTCAGGAGGAATAGACTGGTGCAAGTGACTTTTTTCATAGTAAAATGGTCACCAGCTGACTTGAGAGAAGAGTCCATTCTCTTCATGTGCTTAAAAGGGTGCTGATTGTAAGTGTTTGTTTTGGAAGGATACATAATTCCAGATGGTGGTCTGGCATGCATTGTCAAACAAACAATTTTTCTGAGCCCAAGATTGTCGGTATTTAACATGTGAGACAAGATTCCATGTACATGGAAATCTCATCTTAAAGGATGATGTCTGGAACTTCAGTTAGGAGGGGAAGAAATTTCCTCAGGAAAGCACAGTTTTCTGTTAAATATAGTCCTTGCTTAATGAGCCTATGCATTTATGCCCATCTGGTACAATTTCATAGAACATGATCACAGCTTGTGAAGACTCTTGAGCAGAGACTTTGTAATTTTGTCTCATCTGTAGAAAGCTGAAGATTCCCTGTCTGGAGTCTTTCAGCAAAGAAAAGTAGAGGCAAGTACCTTTTTTTTTTTCCTCCAGCGGCAGTATTACTTTCTCAAAATACTTACAAATATGTAAACCTCATGCACTGTAGTGACTCAGCTTACCAGCATCTCCTGTAGCATTTTTGGTATTCCAGGTTTTCCTCCAATGTAGAAATTGCAGGAGTTGATTTTTATTTTTTTTTTTAACTGCCTTTTCAGTAATACCATACTGCTTGAAAATACAATTACTCTTATGCCAGGAATCTGAAGTTACTCCAATGTCAGACTTTTCACTGCCTTGTAATGCTGTGATGTCTTTTTAATTTCTCCCCCCCCAGAATTATTCAGAGTTACATTTTGCGGGAGGAAGCTGGAACACTATCATCAGAGGCCTCTGACTTCAACAAAGTACACTTGAGTAGACGGGGCGGGATTATGGCATCTCTGTATACATCTCATCCTGCAGATAGTGGTCTCACATTGGAACTCTCCTTAGAGATAAACAGGAAGCTACAGGCTGTCTTAGAAGATACATTACTGAAAAATATTACATTGAAAGTGAGTAGCTATGCCAGTTCTTCCGCACGTTCTTGTGGTTCTGAGATACTGCCTTCAAAGAGATGCATGCTGTTAAAAGGAGGAGGCTTTTCAGAAGTCAGCTCATTGTGAATTGGTGCTGCTGATAGCATTGGATTAATCAGAGTTGTGTAACATGATCCATGCTGAACCTCTGTTTTGGGACCTTTGTAGTATGCTGCACTAATCAGCTGCTGCTTGAAATAAATTCTGGGCTGCCTGTGCATTCAGCTGGGAAAGGCCTTTCCGTGCTCTCCCCAGTCAGGTGGAGCCAGAGGCATGGGCTTTACATGCCTGGCCCTGTGCTAGTAGTAGCTGGGTACCCTCTTGAGCTATTGGGGCAGCGTGTCTGCTGCATGGGAAAGATGGGGCTGGAAAATGTTGTGCGAGCTGCCAGCCAGACTGCAGTGTTCTGCAGAAGTTGGAGATCTCTTCCTGTAATTCTCATTCCCCTTGAATGCTATACTTTCTAGACAACCTGTAGAATATTAGTAACTGCAAAAAAATAATTGCTGAGAGCTTTGCATCCTTTCTTGGAATTAGCTTCGTTTTCTCCAATTGTCTAATCATTTGCGCTTGTTTGGGATACTTGAAATATCAGCCTGCTGACGTAAACAGTAATTTTAACTTCTTAGTGCATTTTGTGCTGATTGACTCATTTTCTCTGTATAACTTACCCTATTCTTTTTTTTTTTTTCCACCCCAAAGGAAAACTTCAAACTCTGGGAACAGAAATAGAACGGCTTATTAAACAGAAACATGAACTGGAACAGAGAATAAAGCAGACATAACTAAAACTTTTATGGCATAGCCAACATGAAGATGCAGGAAAGGCAGGTGCTACAGACCACTGGTTTTTTTACATTTTTCCTGAAACCTGATTGCCTGCCAGCACAAGCATCCGGTATTTTGCATATACAGCCTTTAACTATACAGGCTGTCCTTACTCATGTGAGAGTTCTACGGGGTTTGGCATCAGTGTGGTTCTGTCTACTCAATACTAGCCTGAGGTGCTGCTGAATTTTACTACATACTACATTTAAGTAAAACTTTTATTTGAAATGACATACAGATGCTTTGCAGTGCATACTATGTTTTGAGTGAGTTGCAGTGAGGTTTTAATTTCTGCACTGTATAATTAATCAGTCTCTTAATGACAGAGCTTGAAAAAAATAAAACCAATTATGTCCTAGTTGCTGTTGAACATATCCAGTGTTACTGAGCTTTAAGGGCTTTCAGACATTATTTCCTTTCTTGCATATTATTTCTGATATTTAGGTTGATTAAGCATTTTTGACATGCATGGAAAAATGCTTTGTCACAAAATTTTGGTTTTTAAATGGTGGCCATGATATTGCATATTTTCTGCTTTAACGTTCAGCTGGTTAGCTTCTTTATTCAAAAGAAGTGAAACAACAGTAAAGCTAAGGGATTAAGAAGCTTTGACTCAGTTGTTGAGTGTATGTAATTGAAACGAGTGTCAATTCAACAAATCCTGTAAACCTTTGATCTTTACACATATGGATCTAATATCAGATAATTGGTTAATAAAGTTCTCTGGCCTTCTGCATAACTAACAGCATTTAGAAAGCAGGAGTTTTAACTGCCCATTGCTACGTGCGTATAGGTAGACATTGTGATTGCATCTGTTTTCAGATGATCAGAAAATCTATTTTCAAAGACAAATGGAAGCTAACTAAATTTTCTCATTAACTGTGGCTAAACTAGCTAGTGAAAGTAATAGTAAGAAATGGGAAATATATCTAAATGGGATTTTCATCTATTCATTGGACTGTGAAAGTGGCACAGAAATCTGTGCAACTGCTTAATTTTACTGTTGTGAAGAATTAGTTGGTCAAAATGGCATGAACTGAGAACTGTTATTTAGTCCTTCAGTGGCTGAGAGGGTGACGGAGGAAGAGTATCACGGTGACAAGATTCTAGTTAGTCACAGCATCATGTTCACATTTTAATTCCAGGATAAGTAATCTGAAATATCTCTATTCCAGCAGTAAATGCATAGAGTTCTGTATTTATTGCCTTTTGACCAAAATGAATTGACCAGATCACAGTGTAAATACATACTTCAGGTTTTTATTAAATACTTGAACTTCCTATTGTCATGAAAAAAGATTCAATGTACATTTACAACAGCAATGCTTTAGCTATTTTAATTAGAAAGGAAACTTGGGGGTGGAGTGGGTGGGAGGGAAATCTATCTTACCACAGGCACCATTTGCATCATACACAAAACAAGGGACCTGAATCCAGCAGCACACAGGAGGATAATTTATCAAAGCATCTAGGTGACTTAGGTGTGTGTATGCCATTTTCAGGTGCCACTGAGTCACTTGAGCTTTGTAGTGAACTAAAATGAGCAAAAGGGTCTGATTTGGTTTGAGTACTTTGATTCAAGACAGTGAGGCTTCCTTGTAACTTTAAAGACAGACATCTCTGAAAGTCCTTGCGGGATCAAGACCTGGTTTGTGGTCCAGAGCGTGTCCAGAGTCTTGGATGGCAGGTCCCTTCAGTGTCAGTCCCTTTAGAAAAGGAGGGTGGAAACAAATTATTTAAAAACTGACCAAGCATTGTAGAAACTGTGAGCTTTTAATCTGGGTGGGTTTTTATACATATATTTTTCTAATTCCTGAGAGCAACTGTTATCTGAAGTGTTAGGGAATTTGGACCAGTCCAGTCATAGGACTACCTCTGCTTGACTGTTGTTTAAGTGATGTGAAGAGGAAAATACCTGGCTCTGCTGAAACAGATTTGTCACCAGCTTCCAGGAAGTGAACAGGCAGTTGTTTGTGACTGAACTAGACCTTCTACTGAAATAAAGTATTTAGAACAATTTGCATGTCAAAACATAGCTTAGCTCCTGTATGTTTGTGTTTTCATGCTTTAATATCCAGATCTCTGGATGTTTTCAGGCATTCAGCTGAATGACTCCAGTATTTTAGATACCATGTTAATATTGTAATCATTTAATGTATGTTCTCCAGGTGTACAATGTGAATGAAGGAGAGGTGTGGTGCAGATGGAATAAGTGCAATGACATTGTGGAAATTCTTATTTCTTTTTGGCATGGTTGTTTCTGCTTTTAAGTTATTTGAGAAACCTAGTTAGTTGTCCTCCTGCCCTGCTGGAAATGCTGCTTCCTCTCTGTAGCACTAGTAACTTTTCAGACTTTTTTTTTTCCCCTTGGTTATGGAGACACATAAAATAGCCAAAATAACACATCATTTATTGTGTGTGGTGTTTTCTTGGATCAAAGCCATCTTCTACAAGTGTTACTTTCCATCTCTACTAGGTATGTTTAAATTTCATTCTCTCTCACACATTGGCAAATGACTCTCTGTCCAGTAAACCCAGAATGTGATGAATACATGACAAGGTCAGCCAGCAACTTTGCTTAACAGTGTTGCTCATTTCTGAGAGGCAGTGGTGTATTAGCCATAAAAATGTTGCTGGCAAGCCACCTGCCTCTTGTTTCCATGGGGCAGATTGTCAGGAGTGTAATATTGTTGGTGCACATACCTTTTCCCAGGAAGCGTTCTTGTTGTGTTTCTGTGGGGTGGCTCAGACAGGTGAGCACCAGCTGGTGCGGAGTGGGTGCAAGGCTTGCGTAGCAATCGCATTTCACTTACCCTTGTTTTGGAAACTTTATATTATGAACCTGAGATTGAAAACTGTCCTCAGATAAACTGAATTTTAGAGAAAAACTGATAAACTAATTTTAAAGGGAGCCTGGAGCAGTTAGCTACATATCTGTCATTGAAATTCAGTGTCCACTAGACATGTAATTGCCACAGGCTGCTTTTGAAAATGCGAAGCTTCTAGCTAGTTGTGTCCTACAGGCTTAAACACCTGTTTCTTAAATACCCAGGGTGCTCTTTTAATTCAAACATCACACATCCAGATGTTGTTAAGAGGCCCTACAGGAAAGCTGCCTATGCTTTTCCACCCTCTGTAAAATCTGGCACTGATGTCTAAAGCCAGACCCTCTGAACTGAAGAATACCATTTTATGCTAGAGAAATAATTGGCTTTCTGCCACATAGACTTGTGCACTATTTTTAATTTTAGTCTCCAGAAAACAATGGAGATTGATTTGTTCCTCAGATACAGTGTCATCATCTTCACTTGTTGCTGGCAACACCTGCAGTATCTCCAGCTAATAAAACTGAAGTTTCTCTCTCTCAAAATATTTTTCATTACAATATTTTCATTCATAACTAAAAAAAAAAAAATCAAAAGAAATCGGATCTCTGGCATCAAGTGAATCGAGTGTAAAGCTGAGTGCCTGCGTGCTGCAGAGACCCAAATCTAGGAAGGGGTTCAGAGAGCAAGGCCTGTCCCCACGGACCCGCACCCTTCCTGCGGTCAATGGCAACGACTGTGCTGGTGAGCGTCAGCAGTAGGTGGCGCTCCAGATCAGAGTTACCCTGTCTCCACAGCGACCCGGTTCCTGTCACGGAGCGGGCGGCTGCGTTGCAGAGGGAGCTGGGTGATATTTAGGGCTTTTCTAAGGTGGATGAGGGTTTCCTTCCCATTTTCGTGTTCCAGCTGAAACTCTGTTGAATCTTCCCATATATGTATGTATGTTGTCTGAATATACACAGAATGTCTATTGATTTAATTTTGTAGATACCTGTTTCTGTATAAAGTTTTTGAAGATATCAGTATACCTTATGTATATATTGTACTTTGAAATAATAAACATACAAATGTATGAAAGTCGGGTTTGGGTGTGTAGTTTGTACCGTTGGTTATTTACTGCTGCCTAACTCTGGGTTGTGCTGGGGCTCTCAGTGAAGGCCTGTGGTGGTGACAGCAGGGTGCTGCTCCATGCTGGGTGGTCGTCTTTAGCGAGTGGGAACCTCCCCTTCTCGCAGTGCAGAAACCTCCTCCTGATGCTTGTAAACAAGTACTCTGGGCTAAAAACAGCTTAATTGCCAGCAAACTGTTCTTGCCAGCATGGATGCTGGGAGAGCACCATAAAAGCCCCTTCTTGTTTCCCCTCAAGTGGGTTTGACTGCGTATAACTATGTAATATGGTCTGCGGTCGGAGGCTTTGCTACTACCCACAGCTTGGAAGGGCGATGCTTGCTGCCAGCCCGTCCTTCTCTGTTGCACTATTTAAAGAAGAGGTGGCAGTGCATCTTTGCAGCATACTTCTGGTACTGTGAGTCGGTTTTAACGGCTCAGCCAGGGAAAACAGGGCTGTGCAGCTTTCGTACTGTACTTCATCTCTTGGAAACTGGGGTGAGACTTTTCCATGCTAAGGAGAGGTGATAGGTGTGCTGCTGTGAGCTGCTGCCAGTCCCAGTAAGTGGCCTTGATGCTGGAGTCCCCTTTTTCCCTTCTGCAATGTGAATTTGACAATCCCACAGTCCCAGTGGCAAGGGCTGGTTGCCTTGGCCACAGCTCCACATTGGGGACACTTTGCTGCTCTGGTTTGGTTATTTCCTTGCAGACATCTAATGTGGTTTGGTTTTTAGCCATGATGGTATTGTTTTAATAAGAAGTGATGCTGTCAGGTTGCTGGTTGTTCATTGTGGCTATGTTTATATTAAAAATCTGGGACTTGGATTTGTGTGTGTTGTCCTGCCTTTGCAACCTGATTGTGGGGAGGCAGAAAAAGTAATACCACAAAGGGGATAATCTATGGAGTTCACTCTAGTATCTCCCAGAGTGCCTTAAATGAGAGAAGGAGGTGTCCTATTTTCTGCTGAAATTTAATGGCAAACTGCCGCTAGCTTCCCAGGATCAGGCTGAGGGCTCCCCATAAC